TTGGCAGCCCTTTTTCCTTTTTTTACTAAGTGATGTTAATATCCTGGCATGGCAGTCTTTAGAACAAAAGATGCATGACATTTCTGTGATTATTAGATATAGAATTTTACGGAAGAGAAAGAAATGCCAGAGGTTTCAAAATTCGTTTGTTAAGGCAAACGGATGAAGTGACATTTCTATGGAACTACTTCAAAAAAAACAAACATTCCTGGCCGAAATTAAAATGATTTGATCCTGAAACGGTGTTAAATTTGTGGCTCTAAATTAAAAGATTAACGGAATATGGCTTTACACAATCGACTCCTGCGTGATAACTCGAACCTTAAAGGGAAATCGAAAAAAGTTCGAGTTATCGGGAGCTTGAAGATAATAGCCGGGAGTAAGGAAAAGAATAGTTTTTATTGCACACTGAACATTTTAATAACATTTAATTGTAGAAATTTTAAGTGAAAATTAAAAGATACTTCTAGGTTATAAATCAGAACGCAACGCAACAAAACATTGCCTAAACAGAGCATTCGTTTTACTGTTTTGAGAATTAAAGCCGTTTCACGTTAGATTTGTGACAATAAACACCAGCCTCCAGTACTAGATTAAACTATACGTTAATGGGAAATTCAAAATTCAATGTTTCGGACGCCAGTAGACTGGTTTTTCCCGACTTTTTAAGGGCTCAAAACATGGTGCCAGTTATCGTGGGCAAAATTATATAGATTGAAATGATCTGAGGCGGCAACAAAAACTACTTCATGATAGGGGGAGGTTCGAGTTATCGAGGGTTCGAATTACCAAGGGTGAAATTACAGTAAATGTATGAAGGAAATCCAGGGGAAATCGATCCAGCGCGAGGTTCGAGTTATCGGGAGTCAACTGTTTTTTGGTGATAATAATTTTTTTGAATTAAAGCTTTTTCCTTTAATATTTAAGAAAACTAAAACAGAATTTATGAATGAATGAATACCCGCCAATTAACATGAATCTCAATATATAAGCTTATTTGACCAAGGGTGGGATCAAAATGGCTGGATATATATTGGCCATAGTTCTTGTTTTATGGACGGTGGTTAACGAAGACACTCCCCCACCCCATGTGTCATCAATATTTCAAGAAAGGGATTATGGGTAATAAAAAAGCACGAGGTTGGGTTCTCGTGCGCTTGTCCTTTGTTGTCGTTGTGATGTTGGTAAAAATGAAAAGTCGATTGGGTAACAACTCTTGCCTCTTTATAATAAATGCTTTTCAACGTAACAACGCGTAGCTGAAAAGCTGTTTCATCCGGTCCATTGTGTCCGTTAGGCACCCAGCAAGAGTCACACTCCACGCTGTGTTTTCATTCGCGCTTTGCGCGCTGTGCGGAGGGTACTTAGAAGTTTTAATAAAAGTCCATTACTATTTGCTAATGCATGAAAATAACAACGTTGCGTGTACGTGCTGATATGGAGAAATGTTAAGCAAACAAGCGATGACATCTTCAATTTGCTCACGTATTAAACAAGCGTCTTCACCTTTAATTGATTCCTGATTAAATTTACCTCATAACGCATGTTTTGTACGTGCTCCTGAAATTTGTCGAGTGCAATAGATTATTTGTCTTCCAGCTCATTAGTAATTGGTCCTTTGGCTGTGGTGTTTAAGGCTTTCTAAGAGGAAAAAATGCCACAGTTAATTTTTTTTTTTCTTTGCAAAATCAGTACTAATTCACCAAAAGTTCTTTTTTTTTTTAAAATTGATTAATACATTGGTGAAGAACCTTCGTTATAGCAACAGCTAATCGAGGCAGTTAGATGCAACTGCATCAAAATGGTAATAGGACTGAATGGAATCCAATTCTCGCCCAATGTAAGTGAATCCAAGACAGTCTTGTATTCTGGATTCCACGTCATGGATCCAGGATGCCAAGTATTGGATTCCGGGTCCTTTGTCAGTTGAACTTGGGATGCCGGATTCCTCTCGCTGTATTTCGGATTCTACAAGCAAAACGTTCCCGCATTCCCTTACATGGGGTGGCGACTCGGTCTGTAATCATACGAGTAATTAAACAATTCGGATAACCGCGTAGTGGAGTCCAATTTGTTCAATCATAACTAGCCTTAAACAAAATTTTTGATAATGTTTAAACCTTTTTAATCAACACAAGGTCTTCCGAGAGGACCCACTCAAGAGCAACTATCTACAGTGCGCGTGATTGCTCGCACTGACCAATTCTAGCAATGACGTACACTGCAGTCGCAGTTAAATTGTGATATTCGATTCATGCCGAGATCAGGGCTGCCGATGGCCAATCAGATCAGAGAAATTTAGTTATAGTTTTGATTAAACCGGTCTCAGAAAATAACTAACTAGAAAGTTGAAATAACTCAGTAGCTAAGGATAATTATAGAAAATGGTAAACGTGGGGAGGAAGGTTTTGAAATTTTATAGATGATTTATTCAGTTCCGTGATGTAAGCTTAATTATAAAGCACCCTGAGGTAAATAATCTAGTGTTGTCAAACCCCGGGGGGGGGGGGCACTTGGGTATTTTTTGGGTGGGTATGTGCCACCCGGGACTCCAAATTGGCACTCCGTTCCCCTAAAATTGATACCCCGTTCTAGAAATGAGCCAATTTTTTATACCCCGTTCTAGAATTCGCCCTAAAACTGATACCCCGTTCTAGAAATGGGCCAATTTTTTATACTCCGTTCTAGAAAGTTTGTAAATTGAAAAAGCCCTGTAATTTAAAAAGATATTTCTTTATTTGTTCGACTTATACATCAAATAAATGCTTCTTCATAATCAGTAACAATTTTAAGCAGAAGATAAAGCCGTGATCCACAATTTTTTATACCCCGTTCTAGAAAACGCCTCTGAAATGGNGGGGGCCCCCCCCCCCCCCCCCCCGCCGGGTGTCAAACACGACTAATGGACAAATTTAATTATTTTCCGTCAAGTGTTTAAATTCGAATGAACTACCTGTCGCCAAATTAAGCGTTTGTTTTACTTGGAATTAACTAAGTAAATGAAGCTTAATAAAAATTCGTCACTGATATACCATATACTAATCCCTCATGTTGTATCTATTGTAGGATGCATTGATTTTATAGTATCGCTGAGATTTTTAGAGCCAGCTTTATCTCAAATTCACGGCTTTCTATTTCTTTACCAATTTTCCTTTTCTTCCAGGTGCCGTTTATAAGTGCGGGTATTTTCCTTTCTGAGGAGTCTACAAATGTCATATTACACGAAGGTAACTGCCGTGAGGTATTAAAGGGCAGCTCGTAATATATCGTACGGTTGAGTTCAAAAGCTGCAGGAATTAACTATTACTTCTGTCGAAACAATTCTTGTCTCATAACTGGATCGTGTAAAGGTTGACTTATGGGGCCACACCAGACCCTGAAAGCTACCCAACGTCCAAAGTTACGTTGATGTGCAAACTTTTATAGAGCATTATTTACTCACGAAGGTGCATGTTAACTACGCTGTAGGATCTCTCAAGGAAAATTCAGAAACATTTAGAGAACCCACGCTTTAAAACTCCTAAAAAAGATTGTGGTAATACGAAATTTCAGCGTTAAACCTAAACTAAAAGGAACCGTCAATTCATCAAATTTGAGGACGTATAGAAGAAGATTCCATGCTCTACTAAAACTTCATGGCTGCCAATAATACAACTGCAATCTTCAATAATACAACTTCCTGCTATGACGGAAGTTGCATGCCAGTGGATAAAAATCCTTTTGTCTTCAACAAATGGGAAAAAACGTTAATTATCCTCGCAAATGCTTCGATATTTTGCCTCGCCATTCCAGCCAACGGAATCGTAATCGCAGTAATATCACGTGTGCAGAACGTGCGTACACCGACAAGTACATTTCTCTTAAATTTGTGCGTCGCAGATATCTTAATCGCATTGCTTTACATTCCGTTCATTACGGTCGACATGTATATCACTAGTCACTGGATATTTGGAGACTTCATGTGCCGATTGGTATCATTTGTATTCTACCTAGCCACGTATTTCTCGATTTTAATTCTCACCGCTATATCGGTTGAGCGATACATCTCGGTTTGTCTTCCAAAAAGGCTACGGTTGACCGCTAAGAAAGCGTTTATAACCACTGTTGTTTTATGGCTTATCGCGGTGTGCCTTGCCATGCCGTTTTTTATCGTCAAAACCACAAAAGTCCATCGTCAAGTCGAGCATTGCGTACTAACCTGGTCGAAAAAGTCAGCTAAGATTTACCACACTGTCGCTCTCACCCTGTTTTACATAATGCCTATTGCGTTCATGGGAATGGTGTACTATAAAATTGGAAGAAAAGTTTGGTCCAGTGCGAACAGGACAAGCTCAATGAAGCTCTCGAAAAAACACTCAGCTCACTCCAAGCTACGCTTTACAAAGATAGCCCTTGCTATTATTTTGAGCTTCACGATTTCATGGACCCCACGGAATGCAGCCAAGACACTGCATTTGTTCGATAAGAACTTTCCCTACTCATACGAGTTTGCTCATATCGTGTACCCCATAATTTACTGGGTAGCCTTCTCCAACTGCGCCGTCAATCCGCTAATCTACTGCTATATGAGTCAAAACTTTAGGAAAGCTTTTAAGATTTTTCGGAATCGAAGGACACGAAGTTATCTTGTAGAGTCGATGAGTGTCATGTCTAGATCAAGCTCCAAGCGGTTTAGCAGACGAATTCAAAAGCCTCCAGATGAAACCTTTCCTCAAGAGATGGATGGGGTACCTAACGAACACGAGGATCTTCACACAAACTCGGAGGCTCGGGATGGATCCCAAGTCAGCAAACATGAGATGCGAACCAAAAAAGATTTATTTTTAATAGTGTCAGCGCTATAGAGTGGGTTTTCATCATTGAGTGTCAAAAAGAACATAACCAAGATAATTATTTTGGCCATCTCTGACTACAGAAGCGGATAATTCAATAAAACCTCACAAATATCGAAGCAAATGAACGCAGCCGCCCCGCAGACTGTAAAGGCGGGAAAACGTGTGCTGTCATCCTTGGCTTTTTCTGATTGGTCAAAAATGGCGGGAGATGTGTTAGCTGATAAATCGTAAGGACTGTTCGCCACTATAGAAAGAAGTGAACGTTTAAGCCGAAGTGCGTCCCTCAAATGTTTTTGGGTTCGTTAATGGGGACGCGGTGGTCAGCTACCAACCAATTTTTTTGCTGTCTCCAGCAACAGCCCCAAAAGTCGTTGCGAAAGTTAACTCTGCCCAGTTCCTTTCTTGTTCCTTAGAAGAGATGATAAATGTTAGGATCAATTTAGGTTTCGGGGAAACTGCCCACCTACCCTCCTCTAAGCCATCATTTTGCCCTAAGTGAGAAGTAAGTGCAAATGTTAGCTTAGGGGAGGGGTAGGTGGGCAGATTCCCAAGAAACCTAAATTGATCCAAATGTTATTTCCAACGCCCAATAAAATACCACCCTAATGAAACTAAACAAACTATAACTTAAAACTATAAGCAGCTGTGTAAGGCCACCACCGCGGTCAAACGTCTAAATCGCTATTTTTGTTTTTTATTGCTGGGATTTCATTTACCAGTTAGAGAAAAATGGGCAAACGTGTATAAATTAGTTAGTCAACATAACTATCTTTCCATTTTCCTCAAAATTTTGAGCTTTTTTCGCTGAAAACGCTTCGCGCTAAAAGAGAATCATGTTCGAAAATGGCGCCGATAATAACGTCAGCATCGGTTTTCAATCACTTAGAACTTTTTTAGTAAACTTTTAAAAAGTTTAGTAAACTAACAGGATGTTGGTAATACCTTAAACTTTCGATAGTGAAAGTAGCAACCTTAACTTTGAAGTATTTCGCTTAACTTTTGCAAATTTCACTCGTTTGACCGCTGTGAANGTGGTCAGCTACCAACCAATTTTTTTGCTGTCTCCAGCAACAGCCCCAAAAGTCGTTGCGAAAGTTAACTCTGCCCAGTTCCTTTCTTGTTCCTTAGAAGAGATGATAAATGTTAGGATCAATTTAGGTTTCGGGGAAACTGCCCACCTACCCTCCTCTAAGCCATCATTTTGCCCTAAGTGAGAAGTAAGTGCAAATGTTAGCTTAGGGGAGGGGTAGGTGGGCAGATTCCCAAGAAACCTAAATTGATCCAAATGTTATTTCCAACGCCCAATAAAATACCACCCTAATGAAACTAAACAAACTATAACTTAAAACTATAAGCAGCTGTGTAAGGCCACCACCGCGGTCAAACGTCTAAATCGCTATTTTTGTTTTTTATTGCTGGGATTTCATTTACCAGTTAGAGAAAAATGGGCAAACGTGTATAAATTAGTTAGTCAACATAACTATCTTTCCATTTTCCTCAAAATTTTGAGCTTTTTTCGCTGAAAACGCTTCGCGCTAAAAGAGAATCATGTTCGAAAATGGCGCCGATAATAACGTCAGCATCGGTTTTCAATCACTTAGAACTTTTTTAGTAAACTTTTAAAAAGTTTAGTAAACTAACAGGATGTTGGTAATACCTTAAACTTTCGATAGTGAAAGTAGCAACCTTAACTTTGAAGTATTTCGCTTAACTTTTGCAAATTTCACTCGTTTGACCGCTGTGAATATAAGGCCTCTTTCCATATATTACAATTAAGAACGAGATAGCGAGCCCTGGTGGACTGGCAAATAAAGAAATTTGAATATGTTTATTCACGTTCTTTGTTCGTGCCCTCCAAGACTTACTATCATGCTGATTACAATATTGCGAGAGCAGCCTATTACAAATAACAAAGTTGTAGCAGTGCTCTTTCTATTGATAGACACTGTTCTATTATATCTGAATCAGTTTAAGCTTGAAATTAAGAAAAATATACAATGAAGTTTTCTTGAGAACTGCATTATCACTAAGTTATTAATCTGTTGCTTTAAGAGTGTGAATTAAAGGTTATATATAAAACGATTGTGAAAAAGCTTAAAATTAATGTATTTATTAGTCCTAACATGGTGGAAATTAAAGTCAGCTTCACTAGTAAACAGGGGCGTGCAGCTTAAACCATTTTAACCAAAACGATTCCAATTTATTCCAAAAGGGCGACAAGCTTTGTTATTCTTATGCCATTTCGATAGTTGGATAGTTGGCCGTCGATGCCTCGTTTCAAGATAAAATTTCCTTTGAATTCCGCAGATACAAGCGAGGCAAAGAGGGCTAATTAACATAGATATATAAAATATCGTAGTAATGCCGCTATTTGGAAATATGTTCAGCATGTATCTTCTCCCGGTAATTTCACTGATTTTGCAGTATCGGTACAATTAGAAATGTATGGAGATACAGTGAAGAATACGCTATGCATTACCTTGAAGCTCTTAGAAGACCTCGCGGAACTGGTTGGGAAAACAATGAACAAACAAAGTGACAATAAAACCTAGCCCGAAGACAAAAGAGCTGCGATCCATAGGCGTCCAGTAAATTAGAGGTTCTGAAGAGATGCGAGGCAACTGGCCTCTGTTTTTTTTTTTTTTTTTTTTTTTTTCCCTTTTTT